CTGTATTCTCTATCAATTGCATTCTTTCGAATCTACTGAAATTTCTTTTTTATCGTTTTGAATTTTGGAATGATTGTTAGAATTTTCTTGATACAGGAAAAATTCCAGATTCAGTAGATAGGATTTATCAAATTGCTAGTAACTAATTGAAAACCAAATAAAAATAAAAAATCCGTGATTTATATTAATTGTAGCTTCGTTGTTATACGCAAACCAAGCAGTGGCTTATCAATGGGTTATAAAGTTGATTCAAATAAAAATCAATAAATCATTATAAACATTAATAGTTATTCAAAAGCATTTATTATCAACTTCAATACACAGATTTATCAACTAATGTATTGTGATATCGTTTATCTCAAAGCGAACATGGTCCGGCACATTTCCAACAACGATTGCAATCAGACTTGCGTCTGCATCTGGCATATTTATAGCTTTGAGAATGGTGTCTTCCAGTGTAACACCATTCATCGGCACCAAACATCCTTCCAAAACCACCGCATTTAGCCCAACAGCGGCCCCGTCGACAACCATATTGATGGCCTTTAACACAGCCAGCAGTATCTTTCATCCTTCCATAAAACTTTTGACCTAAATCGTCAGCACTTTGGATCCATTCAAAAGGATTTATTATAGCTGAAGTATAAGTTATATTCAAGCTGAGGAAGAAAATACAGAAAACAAGAAACAGTTGCATTGTCGATAGTTATGCATGAACTGACAGAATCGACTATACTCAACTACTTATAGGGAAATTTATAAATCGATGTTCATCTATTAGAGTTTTTCGATTTCTTCTATTAAAAACTCCATTATGAAAAAATTGAATTTCCTTTTTGAGATAAGAATCATATGAGTAATCTAAACGGAAACGCGACACAAAATAATAAACTAAGTTCACATTGACACCCAATTATTTCAATCCTGCCGATCCATCGATGAATTTAAATTGAAGAAATGAATCCATGGTTATTCTGAAAAAATAACACGAATGAATGATTTCTTATGAGGGGCTGAACAAGTTCATCTACCTTTAAGCTAAGAAAGGCACTTCTCATGAGCAGAAAACATAACCGAGAAAAGAATCATTTGAATCAAGAATATGATAAGAAAAAAATACACAGCACGTAAGCTCTGATTCATCGAAAATAGAAAACCTCATCTCAGAATACATTTCTCTAAGAAATTCATGAAAAAAGAGGTTGGAGAAGAATGTAGAATCCGTATTCAATAAAATTGAGGGAAGGGGGCAACTTTTTAGTTATCCAAGTTGATGGTTCATTGTTGGAACATAATTTTAAGCATACAAACTTTGTCTTTCAAGTAAAGATTTTGGTGAAAAGTCTTGTATTAATAATGAATGTGAATCAAAATATTTAGAATTGGTTTAATTTTCCAATGACAGATGGCTCTTATCAAGCATTTCCAGGTGTAACACTAATAGTTTTCTCGCCAATATCAAAACTCACATCTGAATGGGATCCATTTGAGTCATCTATCGCTGAGTGCAAAGCTCCAAATGAGTCAGCAGGGTAAAACAGAGTTTAAATAAACTTGTATCATAAGTATTGAACCTCACACCAATACCGATGCTCATTTTACATTGTATTATATTATTGTTTTATTTGAAGGTAACTAATTCGACGAAATTTGATTAGACGAAATTTGATTAGATTACTACAATTCTAAGGCTTCGAAGTTAGAAAGAACCTGAACCACTGATTTATAATTGAAACATGTTAAGGCAGGTGCTCAATTTTGAAGAGGCCAATATGCTGCTTGCTAGAGCTAATATTGACTAAAATTTCGAATTGTTTTAACCACTCAGTTGATCAGCTAATTAAGAGTCAACTAAAATTGTGAATGCTAATCTTCGTCCTCATATACAGCTAACCAAAATTAAAATTGTCGCGAATTTTACATTGCAACTAATTTGAAAGTTGAAACTGAAAAAGTGAGCTTTTCAAATTGAATTACCATATGACTTTGGTTTGATTCAAATTCATCCGTTTATTTAACCTCTAAATGGTATTTTAAGGTCATTCTTTGAATGAATCTTAAATACGTAAATGTTCTGTATTATGATCTAAGCTTCACCACAGAATAGAAACTAATTCAATTTTTTTCAATTCTTTTCATTTCAATCATTAAATCAGCCTATCGTTACTTGCTATTGAATCACAAGTCTTATGTTCTATTTGACCGTTCTGAATCTCCGACTATTCCATGTCTATCATCTAATTCAAAAACAAATGTCATTTTATGGAAAAACGTTGTTCAAGTTGACCCAAAAAAATAGCAAACATAACATTCGATCCAACCATAGGATTCTCTGCCGATCAAATCGCAAAGATAATGACACTCGAAGACGCTAACAATTTACATTGTGTGGTCAATAAACCAAACAGCGACATGCCAGCTGACTTTACTCGCTTGAACTTAAGGACTTCCACTCCAATTAAGCTTGGAGCAATAAAAAGCATTTCATTGGCAACTCAATTGGAGACTGACAATTTGTTTCGTGTTGGTGAATCATTTTATTTGGATTGTTCAGTGGGAATTGAGATTTCATCCATCTTTGGAGCAAGTTGGGCATGAAATTTCCCAGAACTTCGTTCAAGATTTGATTTGGCCTCAGAGTATCGTGCAGATCGAATCGAAGCATATGAAAATAAAATCTACGTGTATGAAACGAGAATAGAAGACGAAGGGTATTATTCTTTCAACGTTTTCTTCTTCAATCAATTATATTCTGCTCTTACTTACATCACTGTTTACGATAAAGTATTCATTAGCTTTTCAACACCTAAAAATGGATCCGCTTTGTGTGGCCATGAAAATGACGACATTGAGCTGATTGTTAACATTAAAGTGATTCCTCATGTTTCACATGCTGTTTTATCATGGCATAAAGATTCTCATCGACTACTAAATATGAAAGTGAGTCATGGAAACAACATCAATATTAATTATACAAAAGATCTGAATAAGTATGAGGCCGATTTCGATAGTGAAATGAGTCATGTAACTTTAAATATTAAGAACATCACATCAGATGATATGGGAATTATACTCTGGTTGGTGATTCGCTCGATATGACAACGAATATATCAATTACCGTTGGAGTTCGAGGACCTCCAAGACTGTATATTGTCGAAACAAAAGAATTCTTTTCTCATTTGAATCACACAATCTCACATGTACAATATTATCCAATCAATTACCAATCATCAGTTGGTACTTTTTCAAGTGCAAAAGTTTTGCATGTGAATCACACGAAGTAACAAAAGATTTCGAAAAGTTTTACGAGATTGAACCACTAAATGATAAACACAACAATAAATCTATCAATAATGTAATGTCGAGTTAGACAAAAATTACGAAATGTAAACCCAATGGAGAAATGCACTCAGTAACATCAATTATTAAAGGCACAAAATCAGAAGCTAGTGGAATTTATCGATGTCTGGCTTCAAATACAAATGGATTCAATTATGTCGATAAGCGTTTTATTGTGACGACTGCAGGGAGCGAAGGTTTCCGTATCGAAGTAAATTCTAGTGAAATCGTTGAAGGTGATGATATTTTATTGACATGTCAAGCAACAATTTCTGCTCATATTAATCTGGTATGGCTGATAAAGTCTCCTCAAAAGTCTTGAATCCTTTCAATCAATCCTATCCAGTTAAATTGTTAAGCACACTTTATGTACAGATATGGCCTCAGTCAACAATACATTCAACTTTGGAGACGAAACTCCTATTATTGAGTGTTAATCTTAGGTTAGGTTAGGTTAGCCTAACCTTACAGGCATTTTACAAAATGCAACATCGCTTAACATTTCTTTTGTTATTTGCAGTTGATTCATCGGGACTTAGCTGCTCGAAATATTCTTGTTGCTGAACAGAAGATTGTCAAAATATGTGAATTCGGTCTAGCCAGAGACATTCAACATGAATATAATTACAAAACTAAAAGCTCAACTCGATTACCAATTAAATGGATGACAATTGAATCAATTGGCGATCAAGTATTTACATCAAAATCAGATGTTTGGTCCTTCGGTATTTTACTTTGGGAGATCTTTTCTTTGGGTGCAACTCCTTATCCAGGAATCGATTTTGATCAGAAATTATATGCACAATTACTTCATGGCTATCGAATGGATCGACCGGATAAATGTCCTTTGGATATTTATTATATTATGACAGATTGTTGGAAATCACAGCCAATTGAAAGACCTGATTTTGGACAATTGGTTGATAAACTGAGCAAATTGATGGATGGAACGATTGTTAATTATTATTTAGATCTTAATAGTTCTTATGAAGAAGTCAATAAAATACTGACTTCTGAAGAGTACGATACTGATCAAACGAGATATGCACCGATGATAAGGTCCATTCAAGGCTATGCCGTAATGAATTCAGTTGGAAAACAGATAAATAGACCTGAAAACTATTATTATAATACATCGAGTGATAACCCTGTCAACGGCTAATCAAAACACTGATATAACTAATTCTGAACATTGGAATTATCATGAAAAGGTTGAATCGAGATATTTTTTATGCGTATTTGTCAAGTGAATTCAAGTAATACTTGTATATGCAAATAAATATTTGTTAATTCAATCTTATATATTAATATTAATTGTAGAGTATTTTATAAAAAATAATTAAAAGCACATCTTGAATTGCAAGTCGTTTCAATAAATTTTCTTATTCAACAATGTATAGTGAGATTAGACCATTGTTTAACTTTGAGAAGATCACGAGCAGTTAATAGTGCATTAAATCACTTTTGCATAATAATCTTTTGCTCTTAAGTCAGAACTTTTTCCCAACAAAACAAAAATTAATAATAATATTATAATAATTTACAATATCTTAGATGCTAACTTACAGTTCAAGCTCGCAGCATTGCGAATGCTAACCATGTACTTTTTAGATTCTTTTATAATAACATAGGCTGCAGTTTCATTTCAACAGAGTACACTAATATTATCAATTAACATTCGGTTTGTGGCCTGATTCAATTGTAAATTATAGGAGAGTGACGAAGGTTGCATTCATATAGTAACATGAACCTTCCTATGCAGACCTTCCGTAAGATCGTTTTCATAACATAACTTGAAATCTATTTTGCAGTAGCGTACTATACAGTAACATTTGGAATTGCTTAACTTCCTTTATCGCTTCCTTTCATATTGTCGCTGTCGATTAGTTTGCAAATCAGAATATCAATGATAAAAACCTGAGATAAATAAAATCGGAAAGACGTGTGCTGATTGATTAGAAAAAGTTTTTTAACAAATGAAACCTTTTTATCAGTTATTCAACATTCGCTCATTATTAATAATGTGACACACTCTCGTCTTTTGCAAAAAAGTGTATAGAGAGCGATATATACGATCGATCAATGTTTTTATTATTAGTACATGAATCAGTTATCTTTTCCTATCATAAAGCGCAATATTTTACTCAATCTGTATCATCTTATCAATCAGTCACTATCAAGTCAGTAGGAATGAATGGCTGACTGAACGTAAAAAGAGTGAATGATACTTGAACTTCAGACTAGCTGTGTGATAATAGATCATGTTGCATCTCGTATTATTAGATAGCAACTACAAGAAAAATGAATAGCAGACTTTATTGGAAGACACAAATGAGACAAATACTGCTATTCGTATTCCTTTTAGGTGAGAAGTGAAATAATCAAATTTTTTACCGTTTTTTTACTTTTCGCTTTTAATTTGCTAACAGTGTTAAGTCAAAAGTCGACTTTCGTTACAAATGCACGAAATCATGGCTATAAAATTGTTTGTTATTACTCTACCTGGGCAGTTTACCGACCAGCTCCCATGAGTTATGGGATAAATAACATTCCCGGTAATCTTTGTACTCACTTGGTTTATCAATATGTTAGGTTGGACGAAAAAACAAACGGACTTAAATCGCTTGATAAATATTTCGATTATGAGTTAAGTAAGTCTATTTAATTTGATATAAAACCTATGACTTATGTTATTTATGCGTAAAAGGAGGACTTATAGATTTTGCTGCGTTGCGGTTAAAGTGGCCTCACCTTAAGATTATGGTATCTGTTGGTGGTTGGGCTGATAGCGGGGTCAAGTACTCGAATATGGTCAGTAAAAGTGAGTCAAGACGTCAATTCATTTCATCCGTATTATCATTCCTCAATCATTACAAGTTTGATGGACTGGATTTAGATTGGCAGTATCCTGGAGTACCATGGAGAGGTGGAGAACCATCTGATATCACAAACTTATCTCACTTGTTGAAGGTCAGTGCGTTGCTCATTCCCACTTTTAGATTCCAACGAATATTCTTTCATTTAATTGTCATTGATCAACAGGAACTGAAAGAAGAATTCGTCAAACGAAATTATATCTTATCTGTCATCGTTCCGATCGTTGAAAGTTACGTTAAAAGTGGCTATGATGTTGATGAAATATCGAGGTAATTATTATTACAATCCAGTATCAATTCGGATTTGAATTCGGAATGCAAGTAATTAGTTTGTGAATATTTTTGAATTTTCTTTATCTATCTTGCAATCAATTATGGACTCAATCGCTCAGACATTTAGACCAAATTCATGTTATGGCTTTTCATTTGAGATCGAACTGGACTGGCTTTGCTGATATTCACAGTCCGTTGTATCCGAGATCTTTTGATACTTTTGACAGGACTTTAAATGTTGTAAGTTTCTTACAAGGAGGTACCCGAGGGCATCCGAACCGATTTCAATGATAAGTGTTTCATTGCATTCGTCTTACTAACAAACAATACAGTTTGTAATCTTTTGATTAGCAAATGTATAAAGATTCGTAAAGCGGCATTCATTGTCGATGCATAGATCAATGTGAAAGCAATCATATGAACCAATTGCGATGAGCCTTTTTGTTTCATTCATTTTGTTTGTACATTATCATACTTTACATGTAAAAAGATTTTGATTCTGTTTTTCTAGTTTATCTTTAATTTAATTTAATTTAAAGATTTCGAGACAGTTGAATACTCATAAAACCTAATTGTTTTATGATAAAAATATTACATTTATTCGGATGACCTCGGGTACTTCCCTCGTCGGCAAAACAATTCGTTGTCTCACCTCATAATATTTGATGATTTATTTGCCTTTCATGATAGAGAGACGGACTCAAAATGTGGGTTGATGCAGGAGCTCCTAAGAATAAGCTGATTGTTGGTGTTCCTTTCTTTGGGAAAAGCTTTACTCTGAAGAATCCCAAAAAGAACACGCAAAAGTCACCGATAACACAACCAGGATTAGGTGTAGCTGGTAACTATTCACATGAGCCCGGATTCTTGACTTATTACGAAGTATGTTAAATAATATCAAAATAATAATTTGCATCTCAAAAGGTCTCAAAGTGAAGAATTAATTTTTGTCTGAGACAAACTAATAAACTTCTTATCGGTTCATGTTTTTACTCAATCAATTTCAAATATGGCAAATTGCAAGGCACATGAAAAATATGCAAGTGAAATTAAACCGTGAACTGATAAATAAGAATTCATTAACTTTCAGCAAAAATCATTTATTCATTATAAATTGCCTTTTGATTCACAGATTTGTACTCAGATTGAGTCGGGAAAATGGACCAGAAAATGGGATGCTCAAGGTAAGGCTCCTTACGCGTTTCACAAAGATCAATGGGTTGGCTATGAAGATGACGAGAGCTTAGCGGCTAAAATGGAGTTCATCAAAAATGAAGGTTACGGTGGTGCCATGATTTGGTCAATAGGTTAGTTGTCATTTCATTTATCTATTGGGTTAGCAGCATGCGTTTCATCTCTATTGAAATGAAGCCCTTCACTGATACTTTTGTCTAATCCGATGAGATGATTATGGATTCGAATTGAGTGCACTTTGATTGTCAATTTTTTTCATTTTTTTCTTTACAGACATGGACGATTTCACAGGTGCATGTGGACAAAAAAACTGGTTGCTTAATATGATAAATATTCATCTTATGCAAAAAGACGAGTTGACCAGCTTTTTATACCTTTTATGCGATAATCAATAAAATTTTTACTAATTTTATGAATAATTGTGACTTTAAAAATCAAACAAATTAAGTTGAAAATTCATATTAACCTATATACTATTTGATTGAAATCATATTGCTCGATGCACCTTAAAAACAATCAACTAACAAACTAAGTTATTTACGAACTGTACAGTAACATTTGGAATTGCTTAACTTCCTTTATCGCTTCCTTTCATATTGTCGCTGTCGATTCGTTTGCAAATCAGAATATCAATGATAAAAACCTGAGATAAATAAAATCGGAAAGACGTGTGCTGATTGATTAGAAAAAGTTTTTTGACAAATGAAACCTTGTTATCAGTTATTCAACATTCGCTCATTATTAATAATGTGACACACTCTCGTCTTTTGCAAAAAAGTGTATAGAGAGCGATATCTACGATCGATCAATGTTTTTATTATTAGTACATGAATCAGTTATCCTTTCCTATCATAAAGCGCAATATTTTACTCAATCTGTATCATCTTATCAATCAGTCACTATCAAGACTGAACAAGCCATGAGATAATTATTATTATTATAACATAACTGCACCTGTTCATTTGATCCCCAGAACTAAGCAAAAGAATCCCTAGGGTGCTGTGCTGTGACGAAACGAAAAAAGGAGTGAACGATAAACTTCAGACTAGCTGTGTGATAAAAGTAAACTGAAAGATGACTAAAAGATTATGTTGCATCTCGTATTATTAGATAGCAACTACAAGAAAAATGAATAGCAGACTTTATTGGAAGACACAAATGAGACAAATACTGCTATTCGTATTCCTTTTAGGTGAGAAGTGAAATAATCAAATTTTTTACCGTTTTTTTACTTTTCGCTTTTAATTTGCTAACAGTGTTAAGTCAAAAGTCGACTTTCGTTACAAATGCACGAAATCATGGCTATAAAATTGTTTGTTATTACTCTACCTGGGCAGTTTATCGACCAGCTCCCATGAGTTATGGGATAAATAACATTCCCGGTAATCTTTGTACTCACTTGGTTTATCAATATGTTGGGTTGGACGAAAAAACAAACGGACTTAAATCGCTTGATAAATATTTCGATTATGAGTTAAGTAAGTCTATTTAATTTGATATAAAACCTATGACTTATGTTATTTATGCGTAAAAGGAGGACTTATAGATTTTGCTGCGTTGCGGTTAAAGTGGCCTCACCTTAAGATTATGGTATCTGTTGGTGGTTGGGTTGATAGTGGTGTTAAGTACTCGAATATGGTCAGTACAAGTGAGTCAAGACATCAATTCATTTCATCCGTATTATCGTTCCTCAATCATTACAAGTTTGATGGACTGGATTTAGATTGGGAGTATCCTGGAGTGTCGTCGAGAGGTGGAAGACCTTCTGATAAAGATAATCTAGCTCAATTGTTCAAAGCAAGTATTGGCAACTCAATTA